CAATCTGGACATTTCCAACCAATCTCTCTTCTGACTCATTAATCTTCTGCTCTAAGTCCAGTCTGCTATTAAACCCATCCAGTGAATTATAATTTTAATAATTTTTTTTCAATTCTAAGATTACCATTTGACTTTTCTATAGATTCCAGGTATCTGGTTCAGTTCTCTACCTATGCATTTACTTTCCTTATTACATTAATCATAATTATCTTAATGTCTTTGATAATTCCAATATTTGTATTACCTTGAGTTTCTTTGTCTGCTTTTCTCTTGGTCTGTATAAATTTAGTCCTGTTTCCTGGTATGTCTGTTAATTTTTTTGAGATATAACTAACATTAGTTTTCGGTACAAAACATGCTTCAATATTTGTATATACTATAAAATGATCAACACAGTAAGTCTAGTTAACATACACCACACATAGCAAACTGTTTCCATGTGATGAGAATTCTTAAGACCTCCTCTCTTATTAGTCACTTTCAGAAATAAAAGAGTTATTCACTGTAGTCACCATGCTGTACATTATATCCCCATGACCTATTTATTGTATAATTGGAAATTTGTATCTTCTGACCACATCCATCCATTTCACCCACCCCTGCCTCTGGCAACCATCTAATCTATGAGTTCATTTTGGTGGTTGTTTTAAATTCCACAAATAAGATCATATAGTACTTGTCTTTCTGCATTATTACATGTAGCATAGTGCCCTCAAGGTTCATCCATGTTGTCACAAATGACATTTTTATAGCTAAACAATATTCCAGTCTGTGCATGCATGCGTGTGTGCATGCGTGTGATCTCACATATTTATCTGATGGGTTATTTCTGTGCTGCAGTGAACACAGGGTGTAGGTATCTTTTCGAGTTAGTTTTTATTTTCTTTAGATAAATACCTAGATTGGGATTGCTGGGTCATATGGTAGTTCTATTAATTAGTTTTTTGAGGAACCTCCATACTGTTTTCCATAGTGAGTGCACTAGTACACAGACCAACAGTAAATAAGGGTTTCCTTTGCTTCACACCCTTGCCAACACTTATTTCATGTCTTTTTTATAATAGCCATTTTAACAAGTGAGATATGACAGCTCATTGTGGTTTTACCTTGCATTTCCTCAATGATCAGTGAGGTTGAGCACCTTTTTATTTACCTTTTGGCCATCTATATGTCTTCTTTGGAAAAAAATATTTAGATCCCCTTCCCACTTTTTAACTGTATTGAGAGTTTTTTGTCGTTTTGTTGAGTTGTATGAGTACCTTATATATTTCGGAGATTAACCCCTTATCAGATTGCAACTATTTTCTCCCATCCAGTTGCCTTTTTATTTTATTGATAATTTCATTTGCTAAGCAGCTGTTTAATTTGATGTAGTCCCACGTGTTTATTTTTGCTTTTGTTGCCTTTGTTTTTGGTGTCAAATCAAAAAAGCTTATCACCAAGCCCAATGTCCAGGAACTTACCTACCATTTTTATTTCTAGGAGTTTTATGGTTTCAGGTCTTAAGTTCAAGAGTTTAATCCATTTTGTGTTGATTTTTGTGTGTGGTGTAACACAGTGGTCCAATTTCATCCTTTTACATGTAGCTGTCTAGTTTTTCCAACACCATTTATTGAAGAGACTGTTCTTTCCCCATGGTACGTTCTTGGTTCCTTTGTTGTAAATTGACTGTATATGCAGTTTCATTTGTTCCACTGATCTGTGTGTCTGTTTTTATGACAATACCGTACTGTTTTGATGACTTGATACCTTTGTCATGAAGTTTGAAATTGGGAAGCATAATGCCTCCTGCTTTGTTGTTCCTTCAAGATGGCTTTGGTTATTCAGGATCTTTCATGGTCTCATAAAAATTTAGGTTTGTTCTATTTCTGTGAAAAAAAAAAAAAAAAAAAAAAAGCCATTGAAATTTTGAAAGGAATTGTAGTGACCCTATAAATTGCTTTGGGTGTTTTTATTAAATGGTGAACACTGTGTAGGAAAAATTGCCATCTTCTTCCAGAGAGGACTTAATTTTCTTCTAGCAGGTAAGGACAAATTCCTTAAGTATAGATTTTTCTGAATTCTGAACCAAAAGCCTAGGGTGCTACCATGGACCTTCTTCCATGGAACACTCTGAAATCCAATTTTTTTGTGTTCCTAGCACAGTAACACTTTCCAAAATATCTGCCTAAAATTTGAACTTTAGCTGCTTTTGGGGGTGGGGGGGAGTTGGTTATCTGCTTCATTTCTCATTCATGTGCAACTTAGGAATCAGCAAATGTCTTCAGAAAAACTGCAAAAAAATATGTACTAACTGTATCTCTTCTTTCCAGATTCTTTGCCCCTCAAATCCTGGTTACTTTGATTGCTCTACAATGTCAAACAGATGTCCATATTTCTCCGCAATCCTGGCCGTTGTTGCTTAATAAAATTTGAGACTATTGTGAGGTGCACAAGATGTTCGTAATAGTTCTCTGTCTTTCCTCCTCTCAACAGACAACATACCTTTTTGCCTCTTTTGACAGATTTTTTACTTACGTGATTTGATATCAAGAACGCTACTCCAGCTTTTTTGTTTTGGTTTTCTGGTCCCATTTTGCCTAGTTTATATTCTTCTTCCCTTTAAAGTCAAACCTGTATCTTTTCATCTAAAGCAGTTTTTATAGGCAGCACATTATTAGCTTTAAAAAAATCCAATCTGGAATTCTTTAATTGGCAAGCTTAACTCATTTACTATTAGATTCGGCTTTTTGGAAGCCACATTATTTTCTTTGGATAGATCAGGTTTTCTTCCACTAACTTAAAAAGCTATAGTCTTTGTTTCCAAGGAAGTTATCCTAAAGACCATATTAATTTTTATATACTCCAATTCGGAAGCTTCTAACTTATAATTTCCTTTATAAGACAAGCAGCACTCTTAGAACCCTCTTCTCTTTTCCTACTCACTTCCCCCCCCCCCCCC